CCTGTCTTTTTTTTGTTTTTCTGTCCATTTTCTATGATTATTAAATATCACTTGGCAATTAATTAGTTTCTGATGGTAAATTATTCTAGTGGTCATATATTGAATTAATGAGTTAGGATAAGTGACTCAATAATTGACACCGATAGTTTTCGTTAAATTACATAAAATTTTGAAAATATTTAACTTCTTTTGCTTACGAATATTCATTTCTGGAGTAAATTATTTCATCTTTTCAATATTAATTTAATTCATGAATAATTCGAAACCCAATATGTATCACATATATCATTAAGGAGTTTTTCTTAATGACTTCTTTTTTTGACAAAATATAACATTTTTAAATATTTACATTTTTTATTTTTTGTTCGCGCTAACCTTCCTCAGTGACAAAAGAATTTTAAAAAATATCCTTCTTTAACGTTCGCGCTAGCCTACCTCAGTGACAAGAGAATTAAAAAAATAAAACTCTGTATATATCTCTCTTTTTACTTATAAACAAATTGCGATTTATTTGGAAAATTGATAAGATAATACCATTTAGTTCCATGTGAAAAATTATTACGAAAACATGTATGATTTTGTTTCTTTAAAAATTAAGTATATTGTTGTCTAGTACGTCCGCAGTTGTTCTATGATGATTTATAACAATACACCTAAATTTATAAAAAACCAAGTCATGTTCTCGTAGTAATTTTTCACATAGAATTGAATGGAATTTTTTGTTTTTCAAAAAATACAATTTGTTTAAATTATTTTTTTTTGACATAAATAATTCAAAAAGAAGTTGTCTTTTTTAGGAATTTGTACATAAAAAATTTGACCGCAACAGTTTATTCAGGAGACACTTTTATTCTGAAATCTCCGCGCTTGGAATATTTTTAATGGAAGGGAATGTGTTTGTGTATGCCTTGCCCTACTTTTCTCTCTGTGCGAAAGATGTTAATTTTTTTTTTGCTCGAGAGTCCATTTCTTAATTTCAATTGAATTGAACCAAACGCGTCTATTGCGTTAACTCTTCTCTCTTTTGCTGATGGTTGGAGACCTTTTTCGATCGGAGTGACTTTGGAGGACATATATATATATATAATCATGCGAAAGAGAAGTGACGGTCATGGAAGGCCAAGTTACTCACCTGACCTCGCACTTTGGCAAGTGCCGCAAATTTTTTTTTTTTTACATCTACCTTGAATAGATAGCGTTTTTCGTGTACAGGTCAATAGCTTCTATGACGATTAATTTTCAAGAATTCTATTAGATATAATTATTTTTTAAAAGAATATTCTTTTGAATAAAATATGGTGTAAAGAGAAATTCTGTCAAATATACTAATTCGAAAAATAAAAATTCGCCTAGAAAAAAATTAGACGCCAGAGCATGATTTGAGATGAATCCAATCTTATGTATGTTTGCGCTAATGTAATCTGTAATGCAATGCAATATGGCAAGATACACAAGATGCCTGGAGCAAAAAAAGTACATACATATTATAACAACACGCAGTGTCAGAGCCGCAGAATATGGCGCAACATAAAACCATCTCTTTTAGAAATAAACGTGCGTCCATTCGCTCCTCTCTTTTGTATCGAATTTTGTCTTTTCCTGGGAAATTTATTATACTTACCTGTCCGCTCAACGGAAGTATACGTTTGGCTATTGTACGCATTCGATCCTTTTTTCCACAGTGACCCTGAAAGATACGTGCTTTTCGCAGCAAAAATTAGTTATACAAAAACAAAATTTTTACATTTTATGACATCAATATTATAGGCCTCTGGGAAAATATTTTACTTGAAAGAATGATTAGTAAATATTTCAAGATAACTTTAATATTTTTTTATTAGATGTTAGTTTTATACATATTTTTAGAAAGCTCTTTTTCTAATTTAAAAATTGTTTACGTTTGTTTATTGACAATATATGTATGTTTTCTCTCTCTTTCTCTCTTCTCTCAAGTACTTTAACATATTGTTGAGTACTTGTGACATCCGCCCCATTTGCAATTGGACAGCATCTTGCATCATTATTTTAACCTCGAACCCAATTTCATTGATATTTCTTGGTAATTCAAGTCCATTTATATATATATATATATATACAATATTAAGTATATATGTAAATGAAAAAAGGTATAAAGACGTTCTTTTATCAAAGCAAAATTTCCGATCAGACACTTATTGCAACACAATATTTCATTATAATTGGTGATAACGATAGCATATTAATTTTATATATACTCTCATAAATAGGCTTTTTTTCTCTGTTTCAAAAAAAATATTTTCCACTTACTGTATTTTTTTAATTTGTTAAAACAGTAAAAAAATTAAATATAACTGATGCTTAATTATTTCGTAAATTATAAAATAATTCATTTTACACAAATTATTAATTATCTAAACCCAGAAAAAATTTTTATTTTCTTTTATTTGGGAAAAATAAAATTTATTTTATTGAATATTAAAATCTTCAAATAATCATGATAAAATATATTGTAATAAAAATAAAAAATAATAATTTTATAATAAATCAATGACAATAAAATATAAACAATTATGTACTAAAAAAAGACGTTAGCGGGAAAAGTCCTTTCTCTAGAATGTGTGTATTTATCATCAAAGTCAGTCACTGATTCGCATGTCCCTGACCAACACACTGAGGAAAATATATACAATTGATTGAGAAATATTAACAAAAGATAAGAATGAATTTCACTTAATTTGCAAAATCGGGTTTTATTTACTTTTTTTAAATTATGGCCCCGCATGACGTGAATTATAATTTCTTTTAAATTCTCGACTTTTGAAAATAAATTTTTTTAATGTAAATTTTCCATATAATACTAAATTTGAATGATAAATAAAATTAATCGCAAATTGTGACATTGCACAAATAAAAATTTTGTTTAGAATTTTATTTAAAAAAATTTTTTAAAAAAGTTACTCTTTTTTTCATAATTTATTTAAACATGCAATTTTTTGTCGTCATAAATATATTAATACAGATTCTGACAAATCTTTTACATTTAAATGCTAACGCTCATTGTTCTCATATGTAAAAAAAAGAACCAGACTGCACTCGTCATTAATGTAACGTCATTCTTCAACGAAAAGCAACTCTTTGTCAACTTTCGTCATATGAAACACTTGAAAAGAATTTTTCGTCTTCAGAAAGCTTATATCGTTTTCCTACCGATGACACATCACTTACACTAATGTTTCCTTGTATTCTATGTATATAAAATTTTGAAGTAAAAGCAAAATTCTGGAAGTCGAGTTTTAATTTCTATTTTTCACTATTTGATTTTTAAGAAATGAATTATTATTATTATTATTATTATTATTATTCCAAAATTGATTTTAAAAACATTATTTTTATTATATATTTGTAATTTATTATTTATTTTTTAAAATATCTGATTATTATTCTAAAATAATAATTAAAATGACAATATTTAAAAAATAGTATTACAAACATATTTAAAATTTTTAATCGCAAACAAATTTGCTATTTGTAAAATATTTTTTTTAATTTTCTAATAAAAAGAATTTAAATAATTATTCCTGATTCTTAATTCGAAACTGTACCAAAAAATATCTATCAAATTCTTGAAATCGAATTCAAAATAAATTCAAAAAATGTTATATTCTAATTTAAAAACTTTTATTTAAAAAAGATTTTAGTTTAAAAAAATATAGTTTTGAAAAATAAATAAATTTGTGCTATAATAATATGTATGTATATATAAATCAAGAATAGGGAAAGAAATGAGAAAGAAAAGTTTATTTTCAAAAATCGAAAAATTTGATAGCGATTTTTTTTTTGCAAAAAGAAGAAAATGTAAATTTGTTTTTATATATGAGAATTTCAAAAAAATTGTTGATAGGAGTTCATTGAGCTTATCGTACAGGTATATGTTTTACTTCCATCTTGAGAATCTCGATCCTGTTTTGTCTGACGATATCAACCTACGCTTTGCATATGTGAGGATTTTTTTCGGACGATACACACACATATTAGAGACTTTTCGCCGGATGTTCACATATATATAAGATATTTATGAAAATATACAAACACAAATGCAGGAATTGCGTCACGTCGCAGACACGAGTTAGAACCTCGGTCAGAACTTTATTCCGTGTGTGTCAGAGAGCTCTCAGCCAAGGTCTAGGATAGATTTGATCATCAAAAAAGAAAAAAAATAATAATTGAGAAACCATTTATAAAAAGTATGACAATATTTTGTCGAAACAAATGGATAAATATTTAATTTTAAAAATAATATTTCTTTTAACATAAATATCGCGTGCGTCTCGGCGTGCGTAAAAGCTGCTAGAAATAAATTATTTTTTGAGAGAATTTTTAGCATAAAAATAAATAATTCTGTTCAAAAAAGAAATAGAAAATTAAAAAAAATTAAATATTAATTTTCGATTATCGGCTAAATATAAAAATTCTATTTGACGAAAATTCGAATTGGTATTTAGCGGTTTCAGATCAACTTGAATATACAAAATATAGATAAACCTTTAAATTTCAATGTCTAGAAAAATTTTTCAATGTCAAAATTTTTTATCTTTAAAGTCACATTTCTGAATTTTAATATTTTAATAACTTTGTTTAATTATAAGAAATATTCCAAAATATGCAATATGTGTACAGAAAAGTGTAATATTTGAACAATATGGAACAATATAGTTTCTAATATTTCTTGAATTTGACAATATTGCTCCAATATTGCATCATAATATATTGACATAAAAGTATAATAACCAGTATAAAACTGAATAATTTTTTTCTTTATGAAAATCAAATAAATTATTTAATTACATTACAAAAAGGAATTATTTATTTTTTATATTTTATTTTATAATATTATAATTGTAATATTCTTTTATTGAATGTATTTAACGGTGTCACATGATTGTACCATAAATACCTATATACATATAACATAAATTTAACTTATTCATTATAATCAATATATGCGTCTTCTTTTTTTTTAGGTGAAACAAATGAGGAAATGATTAGTGACGCAGAAAAATCATAATTTATGAACGTTGATAAGGTAAGCCATATTGCTGAAATTTTTATATATTGTTCTAAAAATATTATAAACGAGAAGGAAAATAATCAAAATTTATTATATTATTATCATTACCCAATATCCTATTAGCGCCTCTGTTTACCGCATATATATATACGTACTTGATTCTTGAGGTTTTATTCCGGCGGAAATCGCGTCATCCATTACACGATCTACTTCCGTTTCGTTTTATATTCACCATATACTAAATTATTCAGTATTCACTTTTATAAGCGGATGACTGGGTATAAAACATTCTTTTTGAATTTCAAAAAATGATACCGTTATTATATATTCTTTTTTTAAAATTGATAATTATTTAGCTCAATGAGCAAAAAGAATCATATTTTTTAAAAAGTTCTCAATTAAATTGTAATTTTAAACAGTTTTATCTATATATAAAAATTAGTTCCAGTAAAACTAATTCCAAAGTTTAAATAATTTTAGAAAAAAAAAGTTTTTATTCATTTCATAAAAATTTATTACTAGGGAAAAAAATAATTTTTGTGTAAATTTTTTTTATTGATTTAATTCAATGATTGCGGAAGTTGAGAATTTTTAAAAAATATTTTTTGCCGTATCTTAATTTTCCAATTCGACTTTTTTGTTTTGACAATTGTTTAAATAAAAATGAATTGTCAGGACAAAAATATAAACTGCAAAAATTGACAGTACAAGTCAAACTTCGAATAAAAATTATATTTATTAATTTTGTTAATTATATTTATTACTTAATTATAATTACCAATTTTAATTAATTATTATTATTAATAAATACTAATTTACAAATTATTAGTCCTGTTTATTTTTTTATTGAAATAAGTTTTGTTTCAATAATTTTTTACAAAATCAAAAACGTCACAAATTTTTATTACCATATATCTCAGCAAAGGGAAAATTTATTTTTTTTATTTATATTATTAAAAATATATTTTTTTTTTGCAACTTTTTATATGATTTCAATGAAAAAGTAATTTGTTAATAGAAATAAATATAAAAAAGGTTGTAAACACGTCAAAATGAATCAACCTGCGTGCAGTTTTTTTTTTAATTGCCATCATGTTGTATGGTGGCACCATCATGAAAACATGAATGGAACCCCGGGACATTTCCTGCTATCCTAATTGCTTTTTAAGTATTGTGGCAATATAATAAGAGAGTTGTGTACAAACTTTTTTTTTCTTCAAAAAATAGGAAAGAAATATACAGATATGCACAAATCTAGAAAAGACGGTTTTCTCGTGTGTCAAGCGAGAAAAGTTTTCGGGGGACTTTGGACAAAAAATTTCAATAAACCGGATGTTAGTAGCTGAGATCGGTTTATCGCCGACTTCCGGATATATATATTTATTCATTTTTAAATACATCTTTTCGTCCTTCCTGACTCTTGTATATATTTCTATAAGTAGTTTTATATTTTACCCCTAAAGTAGGATTATAACTTAAACGGGGGTGAGGGGGGATTTCTCGGGGAGAAGTTGACAGCTGCATTTTCCTTGCCTTTTCTTTCTTAAAAAAATATTTACCCTTTAATTTTTTTGTATTTTTAAAAAATAACCACTATTTTTATCTCTTTAGTAAATAATTTTCTCTCTCTCAAAAGGTATGTTTACCTTTTTTCCTCATTATTCAAAAATAACAAAAAACTTTTTCATTTTTATATAGAAAAAATTGTAATTTTTTAATTTTACGGTTATTTTTTTTTTTTTGAATTTGAAAAAATAAGTGAAAAAAGAAATTGAAATTTTGAGAAAAAAAATTGTTAATTATTTATAGTTATTTATAATAGTTTTAATTATCTATTTTAATTTTCAATTTAAAAAATAGTGTAAAATTATTTCTTGCATTATTTTTTTTTGTTTTAGTATTTTATATTACGGAATTATCATTATTGTACATACATACATGGAAAAAATATTCTGATGACATGTGATACTGCGCAATTATTACATCTGAAAAGTGGGAATAAAAGTGCAATACTTTTCCTGTGTTTGTAGCCAAGTGAAGAAATATTGCGCAATATTGTGACCTTTTAGAAACATTGAAAATAATTATAAAAGAATGTTGAAGCAATTCAAGATTTTAAGTTATCTTTAGTTTTTTTTCTAATTTTCTTTTTTTAAAGAAAAAAGAAAAAGAAAGTCCTCCAGTTCTATAGTTGCTATAGTTTAGCTACATACATTAACGATTTAGTAAGAATAGAAAATTGAAAAAATGAAATTTCAAAATTTTTTTAATAAAATAAAAATTTTAAAATAATTAAAAATTGAAAGAATATGCAATTTGTAGATTAAAAATTAAAATAAATAATTATAATTTTTTAAAAAATCAATTATGGTTTAAATTATATTTAATCATTCTTTTTTTTTATTTGCAATTTTTTGTTTCATAAAAAAATAATATATTATCTAAGGTTAATTAAATTTTGCAAATTTGGAAATGATCATTTAATCATTTTGATTGTTATAAACGTCACCATTTTGAAGGCTAATTCTTTACTAATTATCTAATAGATCCTAATTACTTTTAACCTTGCAGACTGATAACTCTTATAATTGGACCTACAATTATTGCACTCCCACGAGTTTGAGGTTTGGGTTTATGACCTATAAGTAAGTAGGTGACGAGTAGGTTGCCATGTGGAATCATTTAATACAATGAAAAAAAAAACAGAAAAAAATTCTTCTCTTTCTCAAAAAATTTTATTTTACTTATTTGTTTTCAGTTTTTAATTATTTAATTATTCTTATTAAAATTTGATTGTTTAAATTTTATTTTATTAAAAAAATGTTATTTTCAAATAATTCTACAATATTATTTTTAATTGTTATAGAAATTGAATTTTTAATAATGTAAAAACTTTTTTTTTGTCTGAATTAGAACTCCGCCTTAAAAATAATTTTTATGTTCAAACCAAATAAGTAAAGCAAAACATCTTGACAGGGAAGTAAAAGTTTGTTACGACGCTAGTTTTTCAATACATTCTTCAACTCCGCCTTCGATTTTTATTTTATTTTTCATAAAAGTTTCAAGATGACCAAAAGATCTAGATATATAGATATATATATACGATTTATTTTATGAATCTTCGAATGCAGTTTCAAAAAACGTATAACATACATAAAATGGTCCTGTATTTTGACAAAGCGAACAAGCCACACCAACATCTGCTGAGTATAGATACTGTGGAATGATATTCTAGAAAGAGAAAAATTTAGTGAGCATTCGTTGTAGAATACAAGTACGTGTCCAGGTTGAGAAATTGGGGCCCAAAATTCGGATCCAATTTCTGGCACCTGCCTCTATATATATATATATATATATATAGCTATGGGTCGCTTAGTCTGATGAAAGAAAACGAAACGCTTTCATACAAGGCTCGTGCTAAAACTCGATTCCGGTTCACCTTTACCGGGTGCGTTTTAGGGCCGAGTTCTTCTTCAAAAATCCTTGGGTGGTCATTAGCTTCGTGCTTCCTGAGTTTTTTTTTCTCTTAATTTTCCGTTCGTCGTTTCAGGTAGAACGAATCTAACCGGAAGAGAGATTGTAAATTTTTAGGAAAACCTCATTTATCCTGTACCTTGCAAAACGACATTTTTCACTCAAATACCCAGTGATTATTTTTTTTTTTTATTGAAAAAAATTTATCACTGTCAAATTTTCAAGTATCTCAATCACTTTTATTTCTTTTAATTTTCTACTTCTATTAACGATTTCTTCTTAAAATATTGAAAATTATGAAAAAGTCAGTAAAACAATGTAAAAAACTTTGTAAGGATATAATAATTATAATAATTTGTTAATAATAATAATAATTATTATTATTATAATTTTTTTAATTCTTTATAATTCACAATTTAATTTTTGAAATTTTAAAAAATATGTAGTAAAGTAGAAAAATATTAAATATTTTTGTAAATGATTTTATTCTTCAAATTTGTCTTTTGTTTTTATAAAAGTTTTACAATTTACGTACTGTGTACAAATTACAATAGAACTTTGAAATATTTATTTGACATTTGGAAGATAAATATTATTATTAATAATAATAATAGTGATAATGACAATAATAATGATGATGATTATAATAATAAAAAGTACAATTAAAGTAAATATGATTGAAAGATGATTACAAATTTTTCTAAACTTCTATTTTCTCAATAGAAAATATTTAATAAATACTAAATTTATTATTAAAATTTAAAAAATAAATTCAGGATAAATGAAATATTTAAGAAAAACGATTATTTAAAACAAATTGTTTTCTGTAACGCGCGTTACAATTTAGAAGGCACATAATTGAATTTCTTTACACATTGAAATCACATTTAAAGTTCATTTTACATAAAGACTATAAAAAGACAAAATAGAATAATATACATTAGAAATTGATTTTCCTACATTTCTTTACAAAATTTGTTGAATAAGGTGTTCATTAGTACAATTTTTACAATAAATAATTATAAATTTGGATGAATTTTTACATGGACATTAAACTATTTTTCTTTTTCTTTGCCAAAATTAAGGCGTTTTTTCCACGATTTGTAATTTTTATATTTCTAAGATTTTCAATTATATCTTATATCTAAAATTTCTAATTTTCATTTTATAGTTAACGTTCTACAGAAAAACTATATGTAAATAGTATTTAACAAGTTATTTCGTCAAATTGTAAAATTACAAATTTAATTTCAACTAGTCTTTCTTAAAAAACAAAAAAAAACAGAACAAAACAAAGTAGAAAAACGATTATCAATTAATTTAGTCAATTTAGCAGTTTAAATAGTTAATTAAATTTACGATGATATTCCGGACAAGCAGCTCCATAATCTTGAAGACTAAATAACGTACTACTATTTTTGTGCATGTACCTTAAAAAATCGTGGATGTGAACAAAAAGTAATTGAATACTTCTTTCATCTAATGGCGTATAAGATAACATACTGCCAAGTTTTACTGTAAAAGAAAAATTATTGTCTCTTTTTTCTTAAATTGTTAATAGTTAATTAATAAAAAGCTTTTTTTAAATTTTTTACTAACTTACCAAAAAGTCTCAGTAAATGAAAAGATCCATAAATTTGACTTGGAGTGCAATTTGGTTTTTCTGACATTATTTCTCCATATTGTTGACGTTCCCATCTGTATAACAATTGTGTACCCAACATTACATTAAAATATTCCTTTAGCCCTTTTGTGACTTCCAAAACTGCTACTTCTCTGAAAGCAAAAATAATTTTCATATTAAAATTTCAATGCATTGAAAACATTATTGTTGTAAAAAAAATATATGGACAATAGTTAAATTTTTTTGTACTTATTGGGAGTATTTGTTTTGCTAGAAGTTTTAAATTTAACATAATCATCGAGAATTTGATCCACAGTGTGTCTTGCTGGTAAAATTGCTAATTTTCTTTGTCTACTAATTGCATCCCAATCATCAACTAACCAAGGTTTCAATTCATCGGGCAATTTCACTTTAATTTCCACTTTAGATAAAAATTGTTCTTCCGTTTCAATTGAAGGATCTAAACGACTAGAAAATGAAAAATTTGATTAATTAAATCGATTTGAAGATTCCTGATTTAATTCTCAGTTGTTACATAAAATGAAAAAATACCTTTTCTTTTTTCGTGGAACATCCGATGATGAATCATTAGATGTGGGTGTTACAGATCCACTATTTTTTGCCGATCTACTGTTAATTTTTTCATTTAACAAACTTGGTGTACTTGAATTACTTTCAGCATCTTTATCCTTAACATTCTCACGACTGCGACTTTGAGTTTTAGATGCCACCGTAACCTTTTTACCTTTTTGAGATGTTTGTTGTGAAGCATAAGCTCTTTGTACATCTTTTTGTTTTTGTACATTTGCCTCATTATATTTGAGAACACGACTTTCTGGCACCCACTCGTCCCAACTATTTATTATAAAAATACGAGTGTAAAAAAAAAATACAATTTCAATCGTTCTCTGAATAAGAGAGGTTATGTTTTGCAAAACATTTTAATTCAGAATATTTAATTGAAAAAATATTTATTGTGAAAAGTAATCTAATATTTTATAAAACAAAAACTAAAATAATGTAAAAATAAACATAAACAATTATTAATATTATTCATATTATTATTCTACAGAAAGTATGGACATTTGATATATTTTTCGCTTTACTTTCTATTGTTTGGTAGTAAATAACATTGTTAAAATTTAACTTACTTTTTATTCCAACCTGCATAATGAATAAGATATTTTAATTGTTTTTCTTTGGTTACTGTTGATTTTAAACACTTTGCTTCATAGATCAATGGACCATGGAAGCAAAGAACTCTTTCTCCTGTTAAAAAAAAGTCACGTTAATTACAACTGTTTATTAAAGGGAGAAAAATATTTCATACCTTCATTAAATTTATAATTAGGAGTCATTAATATAAATAATTAAATAACTTGTTTTTTTTAAATGAAAATACTAATTGTTGCGTCTGATTTGTTGACAGCTACAAACACAAATAAATATTTCGCTAATTTAGTTCCTGTTTTTGACACTAGGGCCTATACAATATTGCCAACCAAACTTCTTTTTTTTGTAAAAACCGAAAATTTTGACAACTTTAATTTACAATTAAATCATTTTAATTTCTCTAAACACGAATTATTTTATTTAAAAAATTAACATTGTTATTTAAATCGATAAATTATATTTTATTTTGAATTTACCGCGTTATTTGTAACACACCGGCAAAGTAATGTTGGCAGCAATAGTTCCGTGACACCAATTTCAGAGTATACTGTCTGTCTCTTGTGTTTTTTGTGGTTCTGTTTTGTCGGTCTTGATTTTGACAAGATTTTTTTGTTATTATTGATAGTGCAAAAAAAAAAAATAAATAAATAGCAGAGTTATTAAATCGAACTAATTCTGCAATCGCGAGTGTGAAACAAAATGAGTGAGGAGAAACAACAATCTAATGAAATGGATGTGGATGAAAACAATGGAATTTCGGCTGAAGTTCCTATGGAAATTGCACCTCTTAATATTGAAAAAGATCATACAACATCGACAAGTACTAATACCGCGTGTCGAGTAATGGCATCATCGGGAACTGTGGGATCTGTATCAATAAGTCTCCATCCTTTAGTGATAATGAACGTTAGCGAACATTGGACTAGGTTAAGAGCACAAGAAGGCACTGATCAACTTGGTGAGATTTATCAAATTTTTTCAATGAGATGATTATTAATCAATTAAAATAGTCTTTAATTTATTTTTCTATTTTGATAATTAATTCCCTCCATTGATAATTTTTTTCAATTCTGTAAAAATAGCTTTTTCTAATTGCATTCCGGAATAATGAATTTTTCGATACTGTGTTACTACAGTTTTGCTTCTTTGACTTTTGATCATTTGTTTTTGTTAAATGATAGTGATGATTAGTTTATAGTTTCTTTTTATTCTTTTGTTAATTTCTGTCACTTGGAAATCAATTGTTTATGAATCTTTCGATAATGAGTTTATTAGAAAATTAGTTTTCAAAATTTGACAATATCGAAATACTCTCTCGAAAACTGAAGATTTTTAGGAAAATTAAATATATTACAGGGATCTTCACCTTCTTTCGCCTATTTATTTAAAAAAAAAAACAGAATACTGTCATCCCTGATAGAATGAACATTTTTGTAGAATAAAATTTTCTCTAGTTTTGTAATTTTTCTAATCAAATTACAGTGTATGGAGCGTTGATTGGAAAGCAAAAGGGACGTAATATTGAAATAATGAATTCATTTGAATTATTATTCAATTGTATAGGCGACGATGTGATTATTGATCGAGATTATTATAATACAAAAGAGGAACAATTTAAGCAGGTTTTCAGTGAAATGGACTTTCTTGGATGGTATACAACAGGTGACATGCCAAACGATAGAGATATTAGAGTACATAAACAAATATGTGAAATTAATGAGAGTCCAGTGCTTCTAAAATTAGATCCAAGACCAAAAAATGCAGATGTGAGTAAAATTTTATCAAACATTTGCCAAGTTCTTGTTTACAATTTATTGATGTATGTATTTATATATTACGTTTTTTTTACTACTAGTAGGTATTTTTTTATTTTTCTTTTTTCATTATTATTTTATTATTGGATAATTATTATTAGGTATTTTTATCAAAATTATTTAAATTTATCGAAAATTTAAATGTTTTTTAATTGAAAAAATATTTCCTCTTAGCAATTACCAGTTTCGATTTATGAGTCGGTAATTGATTTAGTCAATGGACAAGCAACAATGTTGTTTGTACCATTAAATTACACATTGGCAACGGAGGAAGCTGAGAGGATAGGAGTTGATCATGTAGCAAGAATGTGTAGTAACGATCAAGGAGAGAGTTCCTTAGGTAAAAAAAAACAACCTCGTGGGAGAGAATTTTTTGCAATTGTTTAAAAAATAGTTGGTAATTAATTTAATTTCTTTTTTTCCTTCATTAGTTGCTGAACATTTAATTGCTCAACACAGTGCCATTAAAATGTTGCACTCGAGAGTGAAACTTGTTTTGAGGTATGTTCAAGCAGTTGAGAGTGGTGAATTGAAAGGGAATCATGAAGTATTGAGAGCTGCTTGCTCATTGAGTCATCGTTTGCCAGTGTTGAATAGTTCCAAATTCAAAGCCGATTTCTATAATGTAGGTTTAATTAAATTAAATTGTAATATTTATAATATTTCGAAAAATTTTCTCTTTTTCTAATTGAGAATTTCAATTTTTCAGCAATGCAATGATTTTGGTTTAATGACGTATCTTGGAATAATAACCAAAGGATGCAATGATTCGAAACAATTTGTAAACAAATTTAATTTACTCTATGAGAGTCAAAGATTTGGTCAACGTTTAAGGAGTCTCTTCTTCTCTTGATTGTGTACAACTGTGTTTGCTTTTTATACTAGTTTTGTTTTTCTAAAAATCATCGCGGGGCATTTTTTTTTCTTTTTTTTGACATCACTGGGTTTTTATTATTTTGCGGGCAACTTACTACTTGACATTGAAAAAAGCCTGACGTCATATTTTCAAAGGAAATAAAACTTAGTGTTGTGAGTTGATTCGTTATACTTTATCATTATTTTTAAATATATACTCTTCTGTTTCTAATAAGTTGATTCAAAATATTTTGTACGAGATAAACATTTAGTTTTGTAGTTTGATTTAGAATACTATCGTTTAATATTGATTTTGAATAAAAATATATATATATATTGCATATTGTTAATTTTTTCCAAAAACTGAAGTCTTCTTTTTAGTGAGAGTACTTTTAAAATAGTTTCATGCGGACTAGATTATATTTTATATTGATATAAATTTTGAGTTTCTAAAATAAGAAACGAAGGAAAATTTAAATGGCATAAAAATTTATTCATTTGCCTAAGATACATACTTTACAATTTACATCTTCTTTTTTGACATGAAACCATTTTTATTAAATCGGTAATATCCGGTAGATTCGGATACTTTCACGTGTTTTTTTTTTTTGGTTAAAAATTTCTTTTTATGGAAGACCTTATCAAATATAGGCCACAACGTCAATTTCTTAATTCTACATCAATGTGGAGTGAAGAAATTTTTTTTACTATACATTAAAAATAAATATGAATCATATGCGTGTTTTACTGATTATAAAAGACTGTAAAATTAGTTTTTGAAGATCTTGAAAAACATGTTATATTTAAATTAGTATTTGTAAAAACTGCAAGTATTTTGAATTATGTTTTTTTTTCTTTATTTTGCTATTTATAAAATACTTTAACCCATAACTGATGAAGAGTTAAGATAAAGTGTCTTTCTTCAATATCATAAAAATTGCAAATAGTATTTTCTTATTTTATTGCGGTAAAAATGCTGTCCTTTATAGATTCGTTTATATAAAACAGTAATTTCTAAAAATGGTTTCTAAAAATCTATACGTGACTAATACATATATATATTTTTTTTTTAAATATATATACATATATATATATTTTTTTTGGCTGTCATAAATAACTTACTGAAATATCACTGTACAAAATATAGTATAGTATATACTGTGCATCGGAAATTATTAATTATTTTTCCGTCAGTACATTAAGCCGTTTCGATAAAATTTAAATATCGTCTTTATAATTCTATTTGCAGTGTTTCTTATAACAAAAATTATACATTTATTTTGTGCATGACATTGGCGTTATTATTTTTTGTTAGTGCCAATTTTTTTTATATCTAGATACATAAACGATGCGATTGATTTTAAATATGTTTTAATGTCTATTTGTCACTGTGATATTTAATTGATATGACGTGATTGAAAATTTTCGATAGAAAATGCAAATGAGAAAACATAATTATTTGTCATAATTTAAAATAATTTTTATTATTATTTTAAAAAAATGAATGCAAATAATTTAATGTACCTACTTTTCTTTGAGATTTGATTTTGGAAAAAAGTTATTTGACCTATTTATTACCGCGCATTTTATTTTTAATTAATTTTTTTCAATCACAAGCACGGCCTATTTAAATGCAATAGAAAAGATGTTTTATGTTCTGTTGCTTTCCTTTTTTTTTAATATATTTTGTGCCCAGCTCATCTGGATTATGTTTTGCGTATTTAAAACAATTTTTTATTTGCAATATTTTTGAAAAGTAACTTTATTTTTTTCTTCTTTTTTAAAAACTTTTTAAAATACTTTTTTAATCTCTTTTAATTTTCCTTTAATTTAAATACTTTTTCATATCTTTTTGGTATTTTTCACTTTTTTTTAAATATGTGTGTTTTTGAGTATTATTTTTAAAAATACTTTTCTGTATTTTTGTTGAGTAGAACTCGAGTTCTTGATATAGCTAATTTACCGATTTATAGAAAGTGTTGATTGCAGGACAATTATTTTCTTTTTCAATTTGATTAAATAGACATTTCATGATCCATACATATTGATAAGCTGTCCTCTATCATTGAGGCAAGAACATCAACCATGACGGATATCATTGTATCGGGCTAAGGACTCGGTTTATCCATTCCAATTAAATCTTCAAAAAGACTATTTCTACTTTCCAGTCTTTCTTCAATTGTTTGAATAGCAAATCTCAAAGTGGCTGCTGCCAAATTTCCCACAGTCCAATGCCTATCCATTAACACTCTACTAACTGTGTCCAACTGAAAAAAAATGTGAAATATTTTTTGAAATAATAATATAGATTTTTTGTTTTTTAATCCAAAAATAGTTTGTTATTTAATAAAAAATTCTAAATAGAACACTATTTTTATTGAGAATAAATTATATTAAAATAATATAAAAAAATTAAACTATTTAATAACTCAATTTTGGTATTATTTATTGAAAAGAATTTTGCTGAATTTATTTGTGATTTTAATGAGAAATATATATATACCTTTGATAAACTAGGGTGACAGGAAGTGTAGTATATTAATCTAGGAACACCCGCCAAAGAGGCAGCAAGCCATTGAATAACAAGTTTCAATTGAGGATCACCTTTCAAATGAGATCCACATCCCCAATTACCTGTAGCTACTGGCAATAAACCACCTCCAAGAGGACTATTTTCTCTCGGCATCTGTAAAAAAAAATATTTTCTATATTTTTTTTTCTCTTTATTAATAATATTTCTTATTTTCTTTATATAATATTATTTTATATTGGAATATATTTAAATAGTTATTTCTATTTATTTTACTCTAAATTTGAATGTTTAAATTTAAAATATCATATTAAATTAAAATTAATTTCAAAAAATTTAAATAAAATTCAACAGAAAAAAAACAAATTTTTGTACAAAGGATTTAGAAGATTCGACATTTTTACAATATTGGAATTGGGAAAACCAAATTAAGAAGCATAATAGAATGAGAGACAGGTGATAGCTTAGAAAACATTATTTCAAGAAATTCGCATATAGTTATAAAAAGAATGTTAAACTAAAAAAGTGGATATAATTTTTTTTATGTTTCAACTTGTAAATAAGTTAATTCTTCTTGAAATTGTTACTTGAGTAGCAATTTTTTATTACAATGAAACTTTATTTATTGAGACAATAATCATTCTCAATAATATTCAAGTTCCAGTGCATTTTGGTATATAGCAGATGATCAAAACAATTTTTTTTTTTTGAAGATATAGCATATTAAGCGGTCTTGTATAATTTTTCAGCAAAAGCAGAGTCAGTATGCAATATGATACAGGATATCTACTCAAGAAAAAACATTCCTTCAGAAAAAAGTTATCTTTAATATTCTCGATTAATTAAGGCGGTTCAATACCTATTGACATAATCTGAAACTAAAAATTACCTTTATCACCAAACAGAACAATTAAAATTAATTTTTTTTGCTCAAAATATTTGTTTTTAAAATTGTACAACTGTATCTTTTAAAATATAGTAAAACTAATTTTACATAATTATAAAATTATTTTATTTGATGATAAAAGCAATTTTTTTGAAGTTATATCAAGATGTTGAACCGCCAAAAAAAAATTATGCGTTAGATAAAGATTGTGTTAAGCCGAAATTAAAGTTTAGTCCTGAATTCCGATTTTCTTTATTGCAGCACCTGAAACATTTTTGATGCTGTATCATTTATCAGATTCCGTTTGATTTCTCCCACGAAGCTTGCAAAACATTCTAAAAGATCAGAATTCGTCTCAACATCAATAATGTCCGGTTTTGATGATGGTAAAGAAATTGTTGTTTCTTCATCGATTAAAGTTTGGAATATTTGTGATGTAAATGTTATAGCCAAAATTTTCTCTCTTCTTTTTGTTGAAGAATTTTCCTCTGCTTTTGAATCCTCGCATAGTGCGTCCTCGTAACATGATGCTTCTTCAAAATCTAAATCCTGCGTAACGTTTTTTCGCGAATTCACTTTTGCTTTCTTTCTTTTTTTAAATAACAGTTCATTAACTCAATTTCAAGCAGACTGCTTTTTCAAATTTGTGTAAAAGTTATAAATCGAGAATTTTTCGAAATATTTTAAAATGTTTTACAAATTTTTTTGTATTTTTAAAATTAATTTTTTTGTTTAGGAAAAAAACTGATTTCTGTTAAAAGCTACTTCAGTGTCGTGAATTTTTTTTTTTTATTTCTCGATCCAAACTTTTACACTTTTTTTTTCTTTTAGGTAAAATGATAAAAACAATAGATCAGCTGATTTCTGTCTCTCATTCCATTTTAAGTAAATCATCTACGTAAATGATAATTGAGTTTCTATTTATAAAAATATATTTTTTAATTCAATTCGGATTCAACTTTAAGAAATAGCTCGATCGATCTTTAATGGGAAATTTTTTGTTACTTCTTAAAAAATTATCAGAATTTTTTGAAAATAGTCCGCAAATTATTTTGTCTATGAAAGAATATATAATGCAGAATGAACCAAATAAATTTTTGTTATTATTATTACTATTAGTTGAGTTAGAATTTCGATTTTGAAATGATATGAATTTTTACTTATAACTTACAGATTGTTGACGTCTGTTTTTTTGTCGAGCGAGTTCTAAACTCAAACTTCTCACAGCCAATGCTAGTTTATGTCTTCGATGAGCATCATTGGAATCATTAAGTGGCTGAGGTTCACCTTCTTGAACAGGAACACCAGCAAAAGATTCACTCAATGCTCTCTTGAGAAGTGAACCTGCAAATCTTACTACGGCTTGATCTCTCGCATCCATTTCTGGATTCTCATCATTTTCTCCTGGTTCCTCTAACCATTTTGATAATTGCTCATAGACTTCTTCCAGTTCCGAGCAAAAATCTGTAATGACAATTTTTTCATGCAAATTCCGCTTCTATGTATATAAATTTTTTTTATCAAAAATCCGGAATAAAACAAAAGGTTTATTGTAAATTTTAGAAAAGAATTAATTTTTTCAATTTACCTGAACTGTATTCGGTGCTAAAACTATATCTACTACTAGCGCTACTTTCTTTTTTTTGAAAAATTGCCGGTTGACATTGTCGAAATCTTCCCAACCATTTTTGTTCAGCTTCGAGGGATTCTTTTAAAAATTCCTCATCTACTGTCTCATCACGCAGGACAAACCCTCTCGATCCACCTCTTCTGAGTCTGAAAAAAATGACAAATCCCTCATTTCCCTTCAAAAAAAAAAAAATTAATTTTCATCTTCTCAAATTTTTTTTCATTTTGGAAAAAGTTTGCGAGCTCCAAAAAATGAAACAGATTTTTTTTTAATTTACAAATTAAATCCAAATAAATTTAATTCTAATTTTTAAAAATTGTGATTGTAATACAATATTTTCAAAAATGTAATTAAACTTTAATTTTTTTTCTTTTAAAGGATTTTTGAAAAAAAATTTCCAGTCGCCTACTTGATGTTTTGATCTCCCACGTGGCTGCCGGTGACACTAATTCCAACTGCATAGCTACTTTCGGTGGAAGAATTATTGGAAGATGTGCAAGTGGCCGAGCTTTCTCGTTTTAAAGCTTCTTTAAGTCTTTGAGCAAATGTTCCTTTTCTCTCTGGGGAATCCATGTGAGTGTAGCGTTTTAATAATTTATTTTCATCATCTTCTGCATGACAAAATAAAATTTATTTTTCCCATTTATTTAATAAACAGGAGTAAAAAAATGGTATTCATACCACTGTTTATTCAAATAAATAAAATTATGAAAATATTTACTTTTTCTAAAGGTTAATTTACACAATAATAATACAGTCAATTTTCAAAAAATGTTTAATTTGACATTTCTTTAAATATTAAATATTACAAAATGTTTTAATGAATTTTAATTGCATTTATCTGAGTCGGTCTGAGTGAAATATATTCCATAATAATCAGTTTTGTTTATGGGAATTCCCAAGCAATGTTTACATTGAAGTACAAAGGGTGCCATAAACCGAAGGTCATATACAATGGGCGATTGAAAATCTCAGAGAAATTAAAATCAGTTGCAATTTGTTTATTGACGTGTTTAGACGTGATCAATTAATTTTAAATGTAAATTGAACGAAAAAAATTTTGTTCATTTATTGCGTTCGAAATTTAACTTTTTGTTAATTTAGTAAATTTTTTTGTTTCAGGAGTGTTTAAAATTTTTAAAATTGCGATCGTTTAAACCTTTAAAAAAATTATTTTTTGTTTCTTAATTATTTAAAAATGTTGTTTCGGGAGGGTTTGAAATTCTTAAAGTCGCGATCGTTGAAATCTTTAGAAAAAGTATTGTTTTTTTTTAATTATTTAAAAACGTGGTTTCGGGAGTGTTCGAAATTTTTGTAAAATCGCGTGTGTGTTTCCAGCCAATCTCATTCGCCAAAATATATGATGTACATCAATTGGAGATTAAGGTTAGTGATAATGTTTTTTAAAAATAATAATTACATGCAATTATTTTTCTACAAAAAAATACCATTTTAAGCCCCACGAAATTATCTTTATAATAGTATTAATTACCCTGTGTTTTAATTTAGAATGTTAAAATAGTGTTTTGAAAGTGATTTGTTGTTTGTTATATATAATGGTATATTATTGAATTAGGAATTATACCTGCTTCCTCGTCGATTGTGTCTTTAGCACTGTGAAAACTGTCAGTACTTTGACTGTTACAACTACTGTAGACTGACATTTGACCTATAGATTTTCGTGTCACTGGTAAAATTTCTCCACTCGATCCTAAAACTATAAAACGATTTTTTCTATTTGGACAATTTAGTGTTGCATTTGTTGCGCCAGGATTCGATGCTCCATTCCCTCGTGTTCTAATTTCCTTTGTGCGCTCATCAGTTTCATTGAAAATTGTGTCATTTGCTGTAAAAATTAAATTTTCTTCTTAAAGTAGTTGCACAATTTTTATTGGAAGCAACATATAAATTTCTCATAAAAATCAATGATTAGAATTTGAATTTTAAAGAATTTTATTTTATTCATTATATGTATTTAATAAAATTGTTTAAAAATTTTAACCAATGATTTTAATAGGGTGCCTTTTATAATTATTGGTGTGATGCGAAATTAGGAATTATTCTTACTTTGACTGCCAGTACTATTTACAGTTGGTGGTTTAATTTCAGTTGGTGGTTTTATTTCATGATCAACTTCCGGTGGTGTACTACTAAAACTTTCTCCAATTGGTGATAATCTTCGGGCGCTTAAACCTGTTTCAGAATCGGATTCACTACGCACTGGATCCGTAGGACTACTTGGAATATGTCTTTGTCGAAATCCCAAAAGAGATTTATTCATTTCTCGTAAAATATTGTCTTCTTCAAATTGACTAACTGGAAGATGAGAATAATCTTCCGCATCCATACAGCATACTGTCACCTAATTTTATTTATATAATTAAATTCATTGATTTAATTATTTTTAATTTAAACATTTTGTTTTTGCAAAAAAAACTTATTACTTACGGTACATGGTTGTGAAATAGCTTCAAAAGAAGCTCTATTTTTGGGATCTTTTATTCGTGAAAAATGCCTCACGCCTTCTACTATCAAAACTTCGTTGTCTTCTAAGGCCTCAACTGATAAAATTGCAGAAAGAAGTTCAGGATGTGTGCATAACTAAAAGTTTAATAATTTAATTTTTTTAACAAATAAATTAGTTGCAGGATGAAATAATTTAAAAACAAAAAAAACAAACAATTTTACTATTAAAGATAAATAAACTTGTATTTTGGAATAGAAAATTGGGAAATGAAAAAAATTTTTGGAACTTCCGCATTAGATCTGTTGGAATCTTTATGTGGTATTGAATTTCAAATTGGACGTTTATATTAATTAAAAATAAGAAAGGTATACTTACTTACATATATTGTTTCTTGTGAGAATTGTTCTTCTAAAACTCCTCCACCTAATCTTGAACTTGCAAAACAAACGTGTAAAACTTTTGTTTCTGATTCTATTCGATCCAAACGTCCTTCATGACGAATGGATAATGGGCAAAGTGGGACACTACTCTCTAGCCAGTCTTCAATTGTTAACCATTGCTTGGACGTCATTACCTATTTGACCAAAAATTATTTTAAAATTATTTTCTACATATGTCCGCATTGGAATCACTTTGGGCTTTTTTCATAGTATATAGAGTAAGTGCAAAACCATTTAAACACACTTAGTGATGAAAATTGTATTTTATTATTATATAATTTATTATTTATACATAAATAATTACCTGTCTCGATATAGTGATTTTTCCATCTAATGCATTTTCCATGTCAAGGTAATCGAAATAATTGAATATACATCGTAACTTAGCTTTCTGGGAGTTTCTGAAATATAATGAATTAATTGTCTCGACACTGTTAGAAATATATTTAATAATTTTTTTTTTTCATGAAAGATATTTAATGAACTTACAGATGTAAATTCCGGAAAAAATGTGTAAAATTGAAATCCCTAAGTGTGGGATGAGTTTTTGCTGTTCGTTTTGGATAAGTGGAGAAAAAAGCATTTGCTATTAATGATGATACAAATCCATAATTATAATCTACAGTGTCACCTGAAAAAAATTATAAATTACTGCTAAATAGTCTCTAGAAAAAAATGTTAACTTCAAAATTCACCTTGCTGTTGTAAACTAAAATGCAAACCCAATGGTGGTTTACAAGGTCTTAGAGCTTTTGCTCTTTCAACGATTTTTGGTATTGTTTTCGAAAACACTTGTTTTCGTTCCGCGGGAGTAAGATCTTCCTCTAAAAATCGTCCAAATGCGATAAATAAATCGGAATCGTGATTATCCTCATCAGGGTCGAGACTGATGCTAAAAGATTAATTTTTAATTATTTTTTTAATGATAACAATAATTTGGAAATCCTAAACATTGCGCAGCAGATATTGTGGACAATATAATTTTGAAGTTGGGTTAAATTTGTATTGGAATTTTAATATGAAAATCTTTTTTTGGGTCAAATTGAGAATTTTGGGAAACAAGGCAAATGTCAAAGTATGTTTGGAAACATGCGTCCAGTAGTGATTTATTTTTAATTCAATTATAGCGTGGACAGTGTATATAGAAAGCGAAATAGACACTGCGGCTATATAGTGAGATCAGAGTCTGAATATAACTAGCTACTACTACGGATGTTTGCAGCTGACAAGCATCGAAACAGGAACTATTCTAATTTTCAAAATATTAAAAACAAAAAAAAAGTTTTTCTATACATAAAATTTTATTTATTATTTCTTATCTGAATATGTAGTTATCATTAAAATTTATATAGTTGCGACGATTAAATTATTTAGTATTATATTTTTTTTCTTATATATTTATAATATATAAAATTAGAATTTATGTTTATGAAAACGTGAATGATTGCTTTGAAATAAAAAAATTGGTGCAATTAACACCTACTTGCACATATCGTGTAACCTTAGCATTGTATCTAAGAGATCTTCCGTATTTCTCGCATTCGCTGCCTTGTCCAATTGTTTTATCACTGCTGACCACCATGGCAGGTCACAAGGCAACATTACCAATGCCATGATAATTAAGCTAGATCTAAAAATAAAATTAATGATAATAATTTTATGCAACACTTTTAACGTTATCAGGTATTAGAAATAAAAAAAGACAGTTTATTCTCTGAATAATTATAAAATTATTTATTATCTTCAATGCACAATTGTTTGTTGTTCATCTCTCAGCAAAAATGTTTACATATAAAATAACTTAAATAAGAATGTCACACGTAGAAAATAACAACAAATTTTTGTCAACATTTTACTTACAAATCAATTTATTAAATATGAAATTCGTTAGAAACATTCTTGTTCATGTGATTTCTGTATCACATTCTTTAGAATTAGAACTTTTTTTTTCTTTTATATAATCAGTGATATAGTGAAAACCTCGAAATTTTTCAATATCTATCAAATTAACATCAGCGCCATTATTTATTAGAAATTCAATTTTTTCCCAGGTATTAGAACTGAATAAACAGTTAGTAGACTCAAACCCATATTCCAGAACGGATTTACCATTCTTATCTTTAGCATTAATATCTGCACCGTGCTCTACCAGAAATTTTACTAGCTTCAAGTCATCATGTTTAGCTGCATTGTGTAATACAGATTTGCCATTTTTAGTTTTGACATTAATCTTTGCACCTCGCTCCAGAAGTAATTTAATCATCTCCAAATTACCATTTCTACACGCATAGTGAAAAATTGAAAAACCATTCTTATCTTCAGCAGTAATCTGATCATCACATTGTTTTAGCAAAAATTCAACTATATTCCAGTGATTAAAAATAACTGCAACCTCCAGAACAGATCTGTTATCTTCACCCTTAGCATGAACATTAGCACCTTCATCTATCAAAAATTTAACCAAGTCACAGTTACCAGATTGAGCTGCACTGTGTATTACTGATCTACCACATTGGTCTTTTCCATGAATAATTCCACCTTTCTGTACTAGAAACTTGACCATTTCCAAGATACCATAACTAGCCGCTAAGTGCAAAACTGATTGATCATTTTCGTCTTTAGCATGGACATTGGCACCTTGCTCTACTAAAAATATTACCATATCAAAGTTATAAGATCCAACTGCACTGTGTAAAATTGATCTATCCCTTTTATCTACACTATTAATCCTTGCACCTTCCTTAACCAAAAATTTAACCGTCTCCAAGTTACCCGATGCAGCTGCTTTATGCAAAACTGAAATACAATCTTTGTCTTTAGCATTTATTTTAGCACCTTCCTCAACCAAAAACTTAACCATTTCCAAATTACCGTTTCTAGCTGCAGTGTGCAAAACTGTTGTATCATAGTTATCTTGAGTAGAAACGTTCTCACCTTTCTTTATTAAAAATTTAACCATCTCCAAGTTACCAACTGAAACCGCTCTATGTAAAACTGATCTACCACCTTTGTCTTCACCACGAATATTCGCACCTTGTTCTATCAAAAATTTAACCATCTCCAAGTTACCAGAACCAGCAGCACTGTGTAAAATTGATGAAACATATTTGTCTCTTTCATTAACCTTTGCTTCATGATTTATTAAAAATTCAACAATCTTCAAATTACCACCTTCGACCGCGTACTGCAAAACTGATTTACCGTCCTTATCTTTAATATTAACCACAGCACCTTTCTCGACGAGAAACTCAACTATCTTTAAATTACCATATTTAGAAGCGCAGTGCAATACTGTTGCACCATTTCTATTTTTATCATTAACCTTAGCTTCATGCTCTACCAAACATTTAACTATCATCAAATTACCAAATTGTGCCGCGTAATGCAAAACTGAACTATCATTTATTTCTTTAGCATTAATCTTTACATCTTGTTTCACTAGAAATTCCACTATTTTCAAGTGATCATGTTGTACCGCATAGTGCAAAACTGTCTTACTACTTTTATCTTTAGCATTAATCTTAGCACCATGTTCTAGTAGAAATTCAACAGTCTGCAAGTTACCAGAAACACCTGCACTGTGCAAAAGTGTTGTATCATAATAGTCTTTATAATCAACCATAGTTTCAACATTTACACCTTGTTCTATCAAATATTTTATTGTTTCAATATTACCAAGTTCAAACACAAAGCACCATACTGGTTTGCCATAATTGTCTCTTCTATTAATATCCACATTTTTCTCAATCAAAAATTTAACCATCTCCAATGTACCAGCAAAACATAAAACTGATCTACCATAAATATTTCGAGCATTGACATCTAAATTTTTCTCTAACAACAATTTAACCATCTCTAAATTATCAAATTCTACCGCATATTCTAAAACCGATTTACCATATTTATCTTCAGCATGAATATCTCCACCTTTCTCCATCAGAAATTCAACTATTTTCAAAGATTCAGATTGATTGCAATTAGAATCAGCTGCAGTATGTAAAATTTTTCGACCCAATTCATTTACAGCATTAATATCTGCACCTTTGTTTACTAGAAATTTAACCATTTCTAAATTACCAGATGCAACTGCAATATGCAATATTGATTTTAAATCATCTGTAGCATTAATCTGTGCACCTCGCTCTATCAAAAATTGAACGATTTTCAAATTATCAGATTCGACCGCACTCAAAACTGTTGTAGCATTAATAGTTTGAAAATCATTTAAAATAAAACTAACGATTCTTGTATTATTTTCCTCAACTGCTTTAATTAAAATGGCTTTATCATAATATTCTTCTTCAAATTTGACATTTTCAATTTTCTTTTTGATGAATTTAGAATTTAAAAATTTACGAATATGAATATAATCTGATTCCACTAGAATCTTCTTTGAAAAATATTCCTGCTTCTGTAAGGATAGTTGATTTTCTTTCCACTTTCTTATCCAATGTATAAAAATTAAAGCAGCAAAGTATTCTCTAAAAGATGAATGAATAAAATCAATATTTCTTCCAAAATATCTAATAATTCCGACTGATATAACAATATCTTTAAATTCTTCGAAGAATTCATTTTCTCTTAAATTGAGAATTAAATATTTAGCTAACTTCTTATGATATTTATCAAAAAATTCTGTATTTAGTCTTTGTTGTATTAATCCTGTGACGTTTGTTTTTTGAAAATAGATCCTATACTTTGCATTAATAAAATTTTCATATACTTCCCATAGATTATCTCCCAAGTAACTAAAGTCTGGATTTTTGTCATTGTCATCTTGAAACCATTTTTTAAAATGTTTTGCAGAATCTTGTAACATTAATTGCAGTTGTAATGGAGTTTTAGAGATATTGCCATCTTTAAATACTTTATTTATTTTACTTAAAAATGCCTCAATGTATGATATCATTTTTGTATTTAATTTATTTTTACCAAAAATATTTGTGTACTCTTCATTACTTAATATTAAACTGAGATTATTTTTCAAGTACTTTTCAATGAATACACTTGTTGTTGAATCATCCATTTCTTCAAGCTTGATGGCAAATGTTGATAATGAATCTTCTAGAATTTTTTCACTCTCCAAACGTGTAGTAATCCAAATTTTGGTATCTGTTTTGTCATTTAGAAATTTTAATAAAAAGGAAATTTTACTTCTATCGTGTTCGTTTAAAACTCGATCAAATCCATCAAATAGTATTAATAAAGGCTTTATGAAATTGTTTTTTCGCAAGGCTATATTTAATAAATTTTTTTCTAAATTATTCTCTAGGTAGTCTGATAAAAATTCTATTGTTGTGTCTATATTATTAGTATTAATTTTTTCTACTGCTTGCAAATAATTTTGAAGATTTATTCTAATCATCCAATGTGACTCTTTTGACCCAGAAGTTGTATGTTTATATAATTTAATTAAACTTGTACTTTTCCCCACGCCCGGATTACCAGCAATAATAATTATTTTTTGATCCTTAATTTTTTTGGCTAAATCTTTTTCTCCTATTAAAAATAATGTGTTATTTTTTTTATCTCTATATTTACTTAAATTTCCCAATAAACCATGAGTTTCACGCAAAATAAGCCGATCTTGTTCAAACTCAAATAAATGAAACGTTTCATCGAAATTTTCTTCAACTATTGCTTCAAAAGTTTCCTGAGGATTATCTTGAGATGTTAGAAACTTAATTGTATGATTATTACAATTTTTTTCGAATGTTATTTTATCCATTTCATTAGAAAATTGTAACCAGCTTGTAACTTGTTTTTTGGTTTTATTGATAAAAATAAATTTCTCGGATAGTGTAGAACTTGCTAATAGTTTTTTCACATTTTTTTCAATCACTATTTCTTCGTTAAATCTTTGTCCCTCAAGATAGAATTCAGGATTATAGATTTGTATCAATTTGAATTTAGATTCAATTAGTTTAATCCAATAAATTTTTCGTTCAGAATTCTTTTTACAAATGTTTTTAAAATCCGCATCTTTAAATTTATCATCAGCTACTTGTATTTTTGTATCAATGATAATATCTTCTTGGAATTCTTTTATTTGACTTTTGATATTGTTAATTCTATCAATATCGGTATTGTCATTTAGAGAATTAACTAAAATTTCTTCTTTTCGTGAGCCGTGTATTCCACTAATGATGTAAATATCATTTAATTCTTGTAACGATAATTTATTAATGAATGTTTTCACATTGACTTCTTCAAACAATTCACAAAATGCTCCTTCCAAATCCCTCATTCTTTCTAACTTACTTCCAATCTTTATTTCTTGATCAGTAATTAGTTGAACTATTGTTTCTGCACCAATCATCCGTTTAACATTTTCATCTGAATCATCTATTAATTTGTTTAAACTAATCCTTTCTTCCTGAAATATTATTTCTCTTTCCAAAAGTTTCTTCTGTGATTTTTCTGTTAGATCATTTAATATGAATTTGTCAATTATTGTTTTATTGTAAAACACTTTGTCGTCAAACACTTTGTTGATATTATTAAATTCCTCTGCTTTATTTTCTGGTATTATGAATATAAATTTTTTATCTGATTTTTCTTTTAAAAGTTGATTTAATTTTTGTAATACATCTAATGTTATCTTATCTGAATCGTAAAAAATACATAGTACCTTGCTTGTCGAATTAAAAAATAGTTGATTTATTACGTGTTGTTTTATTGAACACGAAGTAACTTTTAAAAAATTGCTTTCTTTTGTAAGATAATTTTTATTTTTATTTAAGCATTCATATATTTTCAGGATGCTTAATAATGCATTTTCTGTTTTGAGAAGAAAAACTTGTTCATGTGATATGAGAAAATTATCTAGTTCAGTAACATCTTTAAAATTTATCTCATATTTTAAGACACTATTTATTTTTAGCGCAATCAGTAGATCCTTTATATATGCATCTTCATCGCTACTACTGCTTCTGAGTATTTGAATTGCCTCCTCCATTGTAGTTTTTTCCTATAAGGTGACAAATTAAAATTTTTTTAAATTTATTTCAAAACAACAGTCTATAAATATAATGCAGAATATTAAATAATTTCTAAAAATTATTTTATTATTATTTGTTATTAAGTACTGTACTTACCGGCTTAAATATTGAAACCTAATTTTTAGGTTATATATAAGCGATGTATCTTTTACCGATTTGTATGCGTCCCACTGAAAATTTTACGAGAAAGGAGAGTATAAAAAAATTTAAATCTTCCTGTTTTATGTTCCGATATTCAATAGTTTCGTTCCTTACACTTGATATCAAAAACGAACTGTCAATTCACTTGCTCTGTTATTTCTATGAAAGGCAAAGCCCGAACTGTCGCTATATAAAGTAAGTTACAAGAATATTGCGAGAAATGATCCAATATTGTGAGATTAGGTGAAATTTCTCTTATGCCTTCTGTAATCATGCGCATTTGGTTTGTGGTGCGCCTGTTGACCCGCAACCTGTCAACACTCGGGGACTTTTTATATGAGTGTTGTCCTACATTAGACCTATTTTTACAATTGGACTTTCTTTGACCTACATTGAACCTACTTTGGACCTAATCATATCTTGAACCTACATTGAAACTGTATGAAACTACCCTGACCTATATTGACACTACATTGGACCTACTTTTAACTTACATTGCATTTACATTGTAAATTTTGAACCTCCATTAAATTAACTAAAAAGCTACATTTAAGTTATATTTAGCCAACATTGAACCTACTTTGGTCTACATTAAACCTATATTTACTTTACATTGAACCTACTTTGACCCTACCTTGACCTATATTTGGTACAAATGGTTGTTTTTACCACTGTAATTTATACCAATAAATATTTCTAAGTTTAATTTAAATTAGTCAAATAGAATGTTCTTTCAAGTATATAGTGAAGTTTTGGTCAGACATGTCTAAATTAACTTGCTTGTACTACTTAAGTCATACAGTCATAGTCAGATGAAATTATATACCTATTAAACTTTTATCCAAGCTTACTCGGCAATCTTGTTTTAATCTTTTAGCAAGATTGCTGCAAGCTCCATACAATAAATATAAATTTTAATATATATAATATAATATTAAAATTTTTTTTGGACTGTAAATTTCGCAAATTACGCGGCTAACTTGCTGAAAGATTGCGCTATCTCGGACTTAGAAGTTAGCATTAATTTTACTGAATTTATATATGGTTGGTAAATAATGTAAAATTTACGTGCGAATATAATGTGTATAATTTAATTTTTAATTGGAATAATTTTCGCCGCCAATTTTAAAGTTTGAAAATTAAACACTCCACGTGCTTCAAAGTTGAATATATATATAAATGATGAACATGACATAATATTTTACTATAAAATATCGGTATATATATATATGCACATTACACGGATTGTGTGTATACTATATCTATAAAGTATATTACGCAGCCGCGAATAGAGTAAGAGGCATCTTGTATAATAACCTCTTGTTCACCTTTTTGCCACCGGGCCTGGCGCGGGCTCAGCACGAGTATAATTAGTTTCCCGCTATTCCGGAAGACAACCTCAAAAAGAAATTTCGTTCTACCTCCTATATATCTCTCTTTTTTATTTTTATTATTTTTTATAATCATACCCGAATATAAAGTTTATGTAATCTTACCTTTTTTTATGGTAACTTCTCCGCGCCCTTTTTACTACTCTTGACAATGAAATTTCCAAGCCTCACATTTCACAATTATAATAACATTTTTTTTTCGATTCTCAAGTCGAAATTTTCACTTAGTGCCTTTAGGAATAGGTAAAATCGATAAAAAAATGAAATTTATTTCATGATTAGAATCATAATATTCACATGTCATTTTCATGATTATTATATTTAATCCGCCCCATGGTAATCGATCTCTTCAAGTTACGATTCGTGTGTGGAACTTTCTTCCTTTTTGGATGATGACGAGCTGGCAATTAATTGATATTTTTAAAATTGCTTTATATTTTTTCTAATAGAAAATGAAGAAAAATAAACACTGTTAGCACACTGGATTTTTACTTCTGATTTTTGTCGCGAGAAATATAAGGGTGAGTCCTCGCGAAAACATATCTCAAAATCGTTTATGTATATATGTATAGTGAAAATAGGAGCACTATTTTGTTGAGCAAGTGCAAGTGGTGAAGTACACCGTGCAGTACTAGGTTTTTAGTTCTCGTGTGAGCCACCGGTTAACGGAAAGCGCAGTGCAATCTCTATTTATAGAGCGGCGCCGGCGCCCTGCCAACCCTTATTTAGAATCTTGACAATGCGCACCAAGAAAATCACTGACGAATTAAGTGAAGGGTTTTTTCTTCAAAATATTTTTATTTCAATAGTTTCATGTAGATTTGTTTGTTTTTGTTTCTTATTCCACTTTTTTTCATTACAATAAAATCTTTTGTAGTAAATTTCAGTTAAATTTTACTAATTCAGAAGCAAAAATTGAGTTACTAATTCAAATTAGTTAAAATAAAAATAAATAATTCAAATTTAGAGAGTAATATAAACTTTTAAAAATAAATATTTACTAACTGAAAATTATTTTTAAAAATATTGGAAAAATTATTTTTTAAAAAAATTAAAGTAAAAATCAATAGGATAAAGATTTTTGTTTATTAATAATTTAAATTAGAAGAAACTATGGAAACAATATAATTATTGTCGTGTGTGAAATTTAAATTTTAGTGAAAATATTTATTTGAAGAAGATAAAATAGAATACGTGGGACAAAAAATTCATTGTCGATAAAGCAGATAATTTTCTGTCTGGAGATTTTGGCTTGCGAGCTTAAAAAAATCGATATTTTTTTTTTGATAAAGTTTCAAACATATGTTGTTTGCTGGCGCTGATATACTGAATTTATTTTAAGGAATCAAATTACGTAGTTTTTTCAAAAAATATACAGAAAAGATAGGTTTTAAAACTCAAAATACACGCCACTGACACTATAAACAACTCAATATATAAATTATTATAATGAATATATATATATAAATTTTTTTCGTTTATTATTTTCACTTTAAACTTGAGATTAATTTGAAAATAAATAAAACACTGTTTTAAAATAATTGATTTTAAAATGCACTTTTTTAAATTCATTTTTTCGAATATTTTTACTAAAATTTATATTATTTTTTTAGACCGCACTCTATATAGAGTTCCTAAAAGCTCATGGAGTATTCGATCTCAGTTTTAATTTTTTTTATTTATTTTTTTGAGTATGTGTCATGACAGTCATTTTGTCTGCAACACTTTATAGTGAACTATGGCACATCGCGTCAGCTTTTTCCTCCCGCGTGAACATTCATTGAATGCACTATATGTTCTATGCAAAACATATCACAGAAAAAAAAATCATTTCACGTACATATTTCACGTTTACAATATATCGACAGTTATATATTAGATGGCATTGTGTTCATGTGTGTGACGCATTTCTTTTTCTCATAAAAATTCCAACATACAATTGACATTCATTACATATCAAACATTTCATGATTTTTATTTTTCAATATATATAAACATTTACTATTGTTTATTTTTTTCTTCAGACGATATATATAATGTATATTTATATATTTTACTTTTTTTTACTTTATAAATGAAAATGAAAATTAATTTAAAATAAAATTAATTTAATGCGAGTTACACTCGCAGGGTTCTGTACCCTCACTGTAAAAACTGGCCGTCTTAAAAGTGTAAAAAACGTCTTGTTTTAAGACGTTTTTCCCGTTTAAGACACCAAATGTGTCTTAAAACAAGACGTTTTTTGTACTTTTAAGACGGCTAGTTTTTGCAGTGCTTAAACCTAAAATTTAGGGGAGTTAAAGTGTGAAGGCAGGTGAAAAAATTCCAATTTTGCTTAATTTTTCCTGTAATGTGAGCATAAAAACACATAGATAGGCACATAGTCACATATAACGAAAATTATCAGTTTTTCCTTGAAAACGCTATGATTATCAACTCCAATCATTCTCACTATATTTTTCTTGTAATCTACACGTAAAAATACGTAAAAATGTATAAATTTGAATCCCTTAAGATAAAATTTTCTTCTTTTTTTATTCGAAAAATCCATGATTTTTTCTAAAAATATGAGTTTTCCTTAAAAACAATATAATCATCAATTCCAATCGTGCACGCTATATTTTTTCTGTAATCTATACGCAAAAATACGTATGTATGTAGGTATACCAAATATGAACTGTTTTGATCAAATGGTGTGTGCGCTAGGAGGATTAAACGCTTTTTTCAAAATTTTTGATTTTTCCTTGACAACGGTATGTAAATCGATCCGAATTATGTTTGCTATACTTTTCCTGTAATTTTCACGTAAAAATATATAAGTGTACCAAATTTGAGCTCTCAATGTGAAAAAATGTGGCCACCAGGGGGGGGGTACATAGTCATTTTTAGGGATTTTTCGTAAAAATTCATGGTTTTTCCTTGACAACGCTATGATAACCAATTCCTATGAGATTCGCTATATTTTTCCTGTAATCTACACGCCCAAATACATATGTGTACCAAATTTCAGCCCTCTAGATAAATTCATTTGGCCGCTAGGGGGGGGCACATGCCTTGCTTCACTAGTCTCATTAATAGGGTTCCCCCTTCGGGTACAGAACCCTAATAAAAAAGATAAAAAAGCATGAAAATAATAAATTATCAATATTAAAATAAATACGATATAAAATACAAAAAAAAATCGTTTCCATTAATAATGTGATTGTATGAGATCAGATTTCTCATAAAATGCGTTATTTCTTTAAAATTTACTTTCCTTCTGACTTAGATAAAAATAGTGTTCGTTGACCAAGCAGATTCAGGCGTATATCTTGCTTCTCATATATCTTATGGGGGGACATAGTCGGAAATAAACAAAAAAGTAAAAGAGATTAGAGAGAGAGAGAGAGAGAGAGAAAAAATAATGTTAAAATGAGAAAAATTCAAGGAGGGAAAAAGAGAGAAGAAAATAAAGTGGTAAGTGGTGGGGGAGAAAAATTGTATGGAACAAAAGGAAATGAAAAGAAAGTGAGAGAAGGAGGTAGAGTCAAAATAGGAGAGTCGTGTGCATGCTGGACACGCTCTACGTCCATTTCTTTCCTAAGCAATGGCAACCTTCTACTTTATTAAATTCCCGTTGTGCGAAATTGTCCAGTACTCTTTCTTTGCGAATTCCATTATACATTCGACGAGTGACTAGTCGATAATGTATATCCATTTTCCCTAATACGCGTCTTGCATTTACCACTATTTCCTTATGCAGATCGTGCACCCACCGTGTCAACTGAATTTTTTTCGTTCCACAATAAAAAAAAATTATCTCCCATTACGAAAAGAACGATATGATATACTTTTGGTAACAGTAATTTGACATTATTACCCCAGGGGGTCGATTTTGTAATTCCACTTTCACTGATTCTAATTTTTCATTCTCATTTTCATTTTCTCTTTCACTTATTGAAAGTTTTAGACTCACTCTTATTTTAATAAGCTTTAATTATACGTTTATATTACATACATATAAGGAAAAAAAATACTTAAACACCACGAGATAGTTGATCATATTTCTATAGTGTTTTTAAAGAGCAAAACTTGATCTTTAGTGTAATTGCAACCAAGAGAAATGCATTTTTAAAGGGAAGCTTTCGTACAAAAAACAAAGAAAAAAAATGAAAACCTTCAGCAAAGAGAGAGAAAACTTTCGTAATCGTTATTTACTGAAGGTTTTCCGTTGGTTTGTTACCATCTTTCTTTTTTTTTCTCAACTCTCTTTGTCAGCAACAAGTTCACTTTGTGAAGAATACTCTTCCAAGCTTTTCTGATATACAATATAGTCTACTTATCTGAATTTTAAATCTACTTTAGTTGCTTTGTTCAGCCTGTTAACATAAAGCATTAGTTACTTTATAACCATCTTCGTAGTTCCACATTTTACAATTATAATTTCAAGGATATTAAGTTGCGCATAATTATTCCAATTTTTTTCAGCAGAATTTAATAAACAAAAATTTTCGTCTGTAAAAGAATAATTAATTTACATTTTATTTTTAATAAAATTTAATTTATTTACTATACATTTTATATATATATATATATATATATATATATATTATGTAAATAATAATAATAATAATAGTTATGATTATTCAGTAAAAAAGGGTATCAATAAAAAAACACTAACAGTAGTTTTATTATAATGTTGAAACATAAATGTTATTTTTTAAATAATCAAAATGATATTTTATACGAGTACGGCTCTATAAAAAAGTTTGTGGATATTATTTTGTTATAAATAAAATAGATTTTTCTCTATGTGATGCTTAAAATTCTCTTTGATGCACAATGTAAAATTAATATAGCGAGCAATGTCACTATTTTTATTCTACATGAGTGAAAACTTTGTGGGGAAAAAACATTTTTCTTTTTTAAAAAGTAATTTAATTTCAATATTGAGAGCTTCAAAGTGAGTAACAAACTTTAATAAACAAATGAATTGAAAAATAAAATATTTTTATTAACAATGTCGTATTAGTTTTATAAAAACAATATCTGCAGTTTGTTTTCCCTTTTAAAAAAAATATTAAAGAAAACTCTTTTAATTAATTAAATTCAAATTTTAAACAAGTAAACAGTTAAATTTTTATTATACATACATTTTTATGTGTGACATTTTTCTCTGATGAAAATTTGTGGGATTTAAAGACAAAAAAAAATTTTTAAATCAAATTCACAAGTGAATAAAACTGCTCAGTATTTTAAAGAGAAATTAAATTTTTGATAATTTGGATGAAAAATTTTTTTTAGTGCAGTAATAAAAGTGAATTTCGGTCAGACGAAATTCATGTAATCTTACCATCAGTAATGAAAGATACTTTCAGCCAGACAACAAATTTCAAATTCTTTTTATTTTTGTAATAGTAGTAATAGAGAGTTTGAATCAGACAGAATGGGAAAATTAATGTATTTGTTTGTTAGTAGTAAAAGTCATTTTTAGACAGACAAAATGTTCAAATTTTAGTAATTTAATTATTAGTAGTAAAAGCGTGTTATAGTGAGATGATTAAAGTTATTGATATTTTTTTATTATCAGTATAGTAAAATGTTTCTTAAATAAATAAAAATAATAAAATAAAATAATAATAACAAATTTTTTCAATATCAGTTTTCATAACT